GCCAAAGTTGCACACGCCAGGATTTCCATCACGGCCAATTTCATCAATGAGGAATTCAACGCAGCATAAGCTTGGCCAGTGGTTAGTCCAAGAGGCTGAACCAATTGGATGCAACCTTGCTGCTTACGCTACCAAAGATACATTTTCATTCGTAGATGAGCTGAAGAATGAAAATTTACTGCATGAGTTCATGATCTCACTTGATGGGCAAAATCTGCTCACAGTTGTGCGACTGGATGAAAGCATCGACATAATTTGCGAACATGCGGCTGAAACATGGCTGGAACCAGGGCAACTACGGGAACTACTACAGATATGGACGGAAAATGTTCAGTTCTTGTTCAAAGAAAAAACTGCATCGACAGATTGACGGCGTAGGTATGAGCAGTTCACCAGGACCAGTCTTAGCGGACATCTTCGTGTCAAGTCTCGAAAGACAATTAGCCGAAAACTTACAAAAAACAGCCTTTTATAGACGATACGTGGATGGCATTTTCTCTATGGTCGAAAACCATAAAGATGCTATGAACAAGGCCCATGCAAAGATAAAATTTACGAAATAGGGCACACCGGCTTTCTTAAATATTCTCATATGTAGGCAGGCAGATGGTTCCATCTAGAGGTCCATCTATCTGAAAACGACCTGGAAAGGACAGTACATGCACTTTTTTAGTTTTGTTCTAATTTATATGAAACGAAACTTGGTTTTGTGCCCGTGTCACTAGAGTCTGTTCTTCAAATTAATGAAGAGATTACTTTCCCGAACAATGTGTTTCTTGGAAACGGATATCTAGGGAAAGGCATCGATAACTTTCGCCATCACAGAACTGAAAGCCCCCCAGAATATACATGTTAAAAAAGCCGGTGAGTATTTTCCTCCCTCTCAAGAGTGATAATGTATCGAAGGTGACCAAGCGACGACTTCGATGCCCGATTGAAAGAACATAAGCGCAATAACTGATATTCTCCTTAGACAAGCTAATATATTCTGCCTATGCACGCCACATCAAACTGTATTTATGAGGTAGCATGTAGTTGCCGATGCAAATACATTTGGCGCACGCAAAGGCATTCAGCAACTTGGTCAGCTGAACAAATGGCGAAGTGACTGCTTAGGGCCGACAATCAGATACCCAAGCTTTCACGCACAAAGCACCCGGTGCACACTGGCCATACGGCTGACCCAGGGTCTGCATTCAAGGTCACACTTCGAGCAATGACCGGGTGATTGGCGATTTGCGGAGGCCACTGCAACACGCGGAAGAAAACAAGAATCCCACAAGCAGCTGGATCACGTGGTTAACCCCGCATTTCCGTGTTAAGGATAGATAAAGGATGTAAAGCTATTGCCTCTCCCGTCCTCTCACGCCACCTCCCTTCCCGGCATGACTGATTGCTGCCCTGCCCTTTGCCCTCCCGTTTTTATTCACGCTTGACAGGCGTTCACTGTTACCTGAAC